CTCAACTGGGGCACCCTTGTGCACCAGGGGTGAGCGATTCGAGGAGGCACCACGGGAAGGCCGGGAGAACGGGGGGGCCGACGTTCGAGGACATCGGGCGTGTTCCATGTATGAGTACTTGTTCGCTGATGCTGACATCAGCTGTACACCTGAGGTCGGCTCAGCTTAGGAGGAGGAGGAGGAGGGGGAGGGGGAGGGGGAGGAGCGGGAGGTGGGCGGATGCTGTCTCTCGCAAGAGCATGTCGCACCACAATGCCGTACCGTACATCCGGTCAAAACGACAGCTTGGCAACACGGGCACGCGAGCGATCAGAGGTAGGGGCGGAGACAAGAGAAACCCAGCACACATAGAACGCGTACGCAGACCAGAAGTTCGCAGACGGTGGTCTTTGCAACTCGCTCGCGCAGGTTCGCCTGGGCGCCTCGAGTGCAGATCGCTGCCCAGAGATAGGGCACCTCACGACGATGCCAATGGCTTCGTGTTGCATCAATTCTAGCTGTGGGCTCTCGCCTCCGAGCTTCGATCGGAATGGCAAGTGCGTGTATGCATCGTCCACCTCAAGCGGAGCGTGGAAGTGGCCGTCTTCGTCATCAACATTGCCCGCAACGTCAATGACAGCGTCATGATCGTCGTCACAGTGGCCGCCAGTCACCATCACTTCCGTCATCGTCGGCATCACTGCGCCCTCATCGTCTTCGTTGCCACCACCGTCGTCGCCTTCGTCGTCGTAGTCGTCGTCGGCGTCGTCGTCGTCGCTGTCTTCGTCGTCGTCGGCGTTGTCGTCGGCCTCGTGGTCGTCGCCTTAGGTCGGGCCTGTCCCCCTATGGGGGGATTTTGGACGAAAAATAACAAATACGCAACAGATGCCCCAAATATGCCCAAACATACTAAAAAGCTAGTTTCCATACTATTTCCCCCCCTGTAGAGGGACAGGCCCGACTTCCTCGTCGCCGCCCTCAGCACCGCGCCGTCGTCGCGTGTGCCCGCGCACCCGCGGCGGCCTTCGTCACGGAGGCCCGGGCGGCCTCCGCCCGCCGGGCCTCGGGGCCGACGGCCGCGAGCAGGGCCTCCACCCGCGCAGGGGCGCCCGCCCCGGGGTGCACGAGGGAGGGGGGGAGGGAGCAAGGGTTGAGTCGGGCCTGTCCCCCCTACAGGGGGCTTTTGGGCCAAAAATAAAAAATGACCCCAGCGCGACCCTACCTAGAAGTCGGAGCCCCTAGGAAAGCAGCATTAGTTGCTATGCTATGCTATGCTATGCCATGCCATGCCATGGTATGCTGCGCTACGCTATGCTATGATATGCCATGCGATGCTGCGCTATGAGATGCTATGCTATGCTATGTTATGATATGATCTGCTATGCTATGATATGATATGCTAAGTTATGCTAAGCTATGCTATGTCATGCTGCGCTGTGCTATGCTAATATATGATATGGCATACTATGATGTTCTAAGCTCCGCTATGATATGCTATGCTATGGTATGATATGCTATGCTGCGCTATGCTATGATATGACATGCTTGGCTATGGTATGTTATCCTATGCTAATGCAGCGCTGCGCCATGAAAAGCTTAGACCCACGCTCTGCTATGCTATGCTATGCTGTGCTATGCTCTGCTATGCTATGCTATGCGGCGCTGTGCTATGCTGTGCTGTGCTGTGCTGCGCTATGATATGCTATGCTATGCTGCGCTATGATATGCTATGCTGGGCTATGCTATGATATGCTGTGCTGCGCTATGTTATGCTACGCTATGCTGTGTTATGCTGTGATCTGCTATGTTAAAGCTCAGCGAAGCTAAGATGAAGGTAAGCTAAACTAAAATAAGCCTGAACTAATATGAAGCTAAGCTAAGCTAACACGACATACGCTGAGCTAAGATGAGATAAACAGCGCTAAGGAGACGTAACTGGGGGAACCGCGGGGCGGATGTCGGGGGAACCGTCCCGGGCGGTATCCACTGCCCGGCCCTTTAAGATATAAAGTAAGAACCCTCTAGGCAGAGCCTAGGTAGGGAAATAGTCAAAAAATACCCCAGACTATGTTTTGACTATTCTGGAATAGTCCTCCTGTAGAGGGACAGGCCCGACTTCAAGCAAGGGGGGGGAGGAGGAGGAGGGGGGGGGGGGGGGGGGACTGAAGAGTAGAGGAGGAGGGGGGAGGAGCAGGGAGGGAGCACGGGGGGGGGGGGGAGGGGAGGGAGGGGAGGAGGGAGCAAGGGGAGGGGGGAGGACGAGGGGGGGAGACAAGCTAGGCGCGCTCGCGCCATGTCTGACGTCCTACCCCTCCCTCCCTCCCATCCCTTACCATGGCGTAGATCTCCTCTCTATTCGCACGGTCGGATGGCGCAGCATGGCATAGCATTACATAGCATAGCATGGTGTTGGAGACCAACGCGTAGTATGACAGAGCATGTCGTGGCGACGCCCCGAAGTGGGGGGGCTTCTGCGGCCAAAAAAATCAACGAATCGGCACCGAATGTGGAATCACTTCCGATGTTTTTTTCAAGGGAGGGGGGCATTTTCTAGATTTGGGGGCTGATTCAGAAGGACCGAAAGCCATGCCGTGACATGGCACTGGAAATAAAAACGCCAACGCTGCAGCGGGAGTACGATTCGGAACGAGCGGCAGTGTGGAATTGAGGACAACGCTGCAGCAGGAGCATGATTCGGAACGAGCGGAAGCTCGAAAATGAGGCCAACGCTGCAGCGGGAGCACGATCCGGAACGAGCGGAAACCCGAAAATGAGGCCAGCGCTGCAGCGGGAACAACATGTTGAAAAAACATGCGAAAACCCACTTCCTGGGAATCCTGTGTAAAAAAATACTCAGGGGGACCGGATGACTTCCTGACGTCATCAGGGGAGAGAGGAGAGTAGTATTCATTCTTATACGCACCTCTCCGAGGGAGTAGAGCTCAGAAGCGATGAATGCATACGCGCCGCGTCGTTCGCGATTTGTCTGGTCGTTTCGCTAGGGACATCCTTGAAATTCTGAAAATCGCTGGCACCCCTCACACAGATCGTGACGTCAGGGTCCCAAAACACATGGGAATTTCAACATTCGAACATGAAACCTTCAAAAACACAGTGTAATTGCAATGATTTTGACTCCAATTCTCAAAGAATGGCGGTTTCGCCTGAGACACTCTCCCAACATCGAGCCCCGACGTACCTTCTGGTACCCCAGACCCTGCCTCGGAACCTCCTGGGGGCCTCCTGGAACCTCCTGGGGGCCTCCTGGGGCATGCTGTACCTTCTGGTGCCCCAGACCCCGCCTCGGAGCCTCCTGGGGGTCTCCTGGAACCTCCCGGGGCCTCGTGGGGCCTCCCGCGGCCTCCTGGAGCCTCTTGGGGCCTCCTGGAGCCTCCTGGGGTCTCCTGGGGCATCCTGAGGCCGCCCGGGGCCGCCTGGGGCCTCCTGGGGCCTCAGAACTACATGCACCACCACGTCTGTTGACCATTTCGTCCAGATGTCGACGAGAACAGAGCGGCTGAGCATCGTTTAACCGCTCCCTATCCCCACCGGCGTGGTCTGGGCCCCAATGGCCGATTTACCCCCATCGATGGGGATATGGGCCGCTTCCTCTGGGCTTCGAGGGGTGTACCCCCAATTGGGGCGGTGAGATGGTGGGGAGACACAAATCACACCCAACACATCACACGCTAGACAGACATAACACACGCTTACACCTACAACGCACAGAAGGCACGCACAACACAGAGCACACATCACATACACACACCCACACAACACTCACAGTCCTGGAGCCTCCTGGAGCCTCTTCCGGCATCCAAGTCGGGCCTCCTGAGGCTTCCTGGGGGGCCCTGGTACACACATCGCAAGGCGTGGCAACCCCATTTGCGCTCGAGTGCGACCTCGCTATTGCATTTCACTCCCAGCAGTTCTCCTTCTCTTCTCCTCCTTCTCTTTCCCTCCACAAATTGTCTAGTGAAACTAATCGGCTGGTGGGAATCGTGCTTACACTTCTCTTGTTATTCGCTTCGCTCACTCCGCCAGCCCATCTTGGATCACTCGTATGAGCCTGGGCACACACGTGCCACTTGTATTATGTAACTGTAGGAGGGGGAACTAAAGGGTGGAGGAGGAGGGTGAGGAGGGGAGGGGAGGGGAGGAGGGAGGGGAGGGGAGGAGGGATGGGGGGGGAAGGACGAGGGAGGGGAGGAGGAAGCAAGGGCGGGAAGGACGAGGGGAGAAGACACGCTACGCACGCTCGCGCCAAATCTGACAGCCTATCCCTCACTCCCATCCCTCCTCATTGCGCTGATTTGTTCTCAACCATCGTGTGGTGTAGTGTTGGGTCCTCGTCTTGAAGAGACAACGCCCCGCGTTCCCTTCCCGCCTCCTTCCTCCCGCCTCCTCCCTCCTCCCGCTCCTCCCTCCTCCCACTCTTGCCTCTGCCCTGCGCATGTACATGTCGGTGCACCCCTCACAGGCTTCGCGGCCCCATGGGGAGCCCCACCGAAGCCTCCAGCGGAAGGGCAGGGTCCGCATGGCGGCCCCGCACACGTTTCGTGGCCCCACAGGGAGCTCCACCGAAGGCCCCAGCGGCAGGGTTCGCATGGCAACCCCGCACCCGACGCGAGACACCCCTTACATGTTTCGTGGCCCCACAGGGAGCTCCATCAAAGGCCCCAGCAGCAAGGTCCGCATGGCGGTCCCGGGCCCACGAGACACCCCTTACACGTTCCGTGGCTCCATAGGGAGCTCCACCGAAGGCCCCAGCGACAGGGTCCGCATTGCAGCCCTGCACCCGACGCGGCACACGCCTCACACGGCTCGTGGCCCCATAGGGAGCCCCATCAAAGGCCCCAGCAGCAGGGTCCGCATGACGGCCCCGCACCCGACGCGGCACACCCCTCACACGTCGCGTGGCCCCACAGGGAGCTCCACCGAAGGCCCAAGCGGCAGGGTCCGCATTGCAGCCCTGCACCCGACGCGGCACACGCCTCACACGGCTCGTGGCCCCATAGGGAGCTTCCATCAAAGGCCCCAGCAGCAGGGTCTGCATGGCGGCCCCGCACCCGACGCGGCACACCCCTCACACGTCGCGTGGCCCCACAAGGAGCTCCACCGAAGGCCCCAGCGGCCGGGTCCGCATGGCGGTCCCGCACCCGATTCGGCACACCCCTCACACGTCGCGTGGCCCCACAGGGAGCTCCATCGAAGGCCCCAGCGGCAGGGTCCGCATTGCGGCCCTGCACCCGACGCGGCACACGCCTCACACGGTTCGTGGCCCCATAGGGAGCTTCCATCAAATGCCCCGGCAGCAGGGTCCGCATGGCGGCCCCGCACCCAGGTCGGCACACCCTTTACACGTCTCGTGGCCACAACATAGGGAGCTGCACCAAAGACGGTAGTCACAGCTGCGGTATTCACAACTTCATCTGGTTGGGTCCTCCGCCAAGATAATTATCAACCCGCGGCCGCGTGTCATAGCCGACATGGCTCTCCACAAAAAGACCCTATCGTGTTATGCACAGCCTGGAAACGGAAGCTTGTGAGACCTGTGCGACCTGGGGGACCTCTGCGGCCTGTGGGGCCTGTGAAACCTGCGACACCTGTAAGACCTGAGGAGCCTGTGAGACCTGCGAGGCCTGTGGGAACTGGGACTTGTGAGACCTGCGAAGTCAGTGGGAACTGAGGGACCTGTGAGACCTGCGAGGCCTGTGAGGCCTGTGTGGGACCTCTGCGACATGCGAAACTTCTGGGACCTGTGGGACCAACAGGACATGTCGGACCTGTGGGATCTGTGGGGCATGCGAGACCTGCGACGCCTGTGGGACCTGTGGGGCCGTGTGGGACCTGTCAGACAGGTGGTACCTGTGAGAGCTGCGGGGCGACCTGCGACGCTTGTCGGTCCTGTGGGACCGTTGGGGCCTGCAAAACCTGCAAGACCTGTGAGACTTGTGGGATCTTCCAAACATGGCCCACGCTGGGGCGGGAACACCATTCTGAAGGACGGGAGCACAACGCCGAAAGAAAAGTGAAGCGGCAGGACCATTAGGAAACAACTGTGTAAAGAAACAGGACGCGGAGGGGGAGGGCAAATACTTACAGGACGCATCCAGGGGAGAGGAAGAGGGGGAGGGACGTGGAGGAGAGGGGGAGGAAGGGGGGAGGGGGAAGAGGGGGAGGCAGAGCGCGCGCCGCAGGAGGCGTCCGGCGGGCCGACGGCGAACGGGCGCCCGCGGCGGGACGCCGCCACCTCACCCGAGGTACAGTCATCGGCCTAACCTAAGGAACGATACATAAGGAACGAAGCCCTTTGTTGTTCCAAGTGAGTCTACGAAGTCCGAAGGAGCACCAGGGGGACTCGCCGCCAAAAAGGTAGCAGAACGCATGCAAACCCAAGGAACGACCGAGCCCCTTTTGAAAAGGAAGTGTTCCTTATTCAAGCCGCTCACTGTAGGCGGCAAAGCACAGGAAGGACTTGACTGGGCGCACGGAGGACTTGGCTCGGGAGTGGGAGGCGAGGGAGAGGCCGAAGGCGCCCCCCACCACCAAGTGCCCGACGCACCAGGAGCACACGAGGAGGAAGCCCAGGTGGTGCCCCAGGGGCACGCGGTACCGACACGGGCGTCTGCCCGTTTAAACACCCTGGGGCTTGGGAGCCCCATCCCCGCCAGTCTGCTGCTGCCCCCGTTGCCTTGGTGGGCAAACCGCGGCGGATGCGGTCGATGGCCGCCTGCTGACTTCTCTTCGTCGAGGCACTAGCCGACAGCCCTTCGCACGGATGCTTGAGCTTACGCGCCGCACCAGCGGACTGCACGTTGCAATGACCCGCACATCAACGGAAGCACAAAATAGACCCCATGCGGAACACATCGTGGCCCAGTTCCGCGAAGGCCCCGGGGAGACCAGCTTGCTGGCCCCCTCCATCGGGCTGACGACCATGGGCAACCCCCGCCGCGTCCGTGCTGCCGGCATCAAACCTGCCGTCTGCAAGGGCTCGGGCCTGACCCTCGCTCCCCACCTCTGCATCGACGATACCCGTCAACGCCGCGGCCTGCAGAGCAACCTGGGCGCACTCATCTGCAACTGGTTCCCAGACGCCCTGCGTCTCCTGGAAGAAGGCCCTGGACAGCTCGGTGGTGGCACGGCTAGGGCTGCATATCCAGATGGATCCAGATCGCAAGGTAGCAAAGAAGGAAGCAATGCTCGCCGCGGCATTACAGGCCCTCCAACGATACTGATGTAATCGTCTGCAGAAGGGTAGCTGGTGGTCGGGGGGGACAGAGGAAGGGGAGCGAGAGGAGCAGGAGCATGAGGGGCGGTAGGACAGAGGGGGTAGGAGGACCAGGAGCAGTAAATACCAGCGGCGGCAGATACGGCAATTGCAGGACGAGACCAACCAATAGTCGTTGGATGCAGAATGCCCTGATGGAACATCTAGGCAACCGTCGAACTAGCGCGAAGCGATTTTGAGTTCCTGAAGGATTGGAGGCAGGCATACGGTGCAATCTTCAGAAGCACACGCCCTGGACGGCACTGGCAACATGCTAGGCACGATAAGCACGGCATGCACCACACGATTGAGTAGGGGAATTCGCAATTACATGGGCTAACGATGAGTAAACACCGTGCTGTCTCAGACGAAAACAGAATTGCAACCCGCTTTGCTCTCGTATGGCTTAGACAGGGGCGCCGCGACAGAAACGCAGATCGAAGGGAGGAAGATCATGCACCGGAGCGATCTCAGCAACAAGTCCGCGGGCCCACATAACAGCATTACAGGCGGTCATCGTTGCCTACTGCTCACAGATCGTCCCCCAACGCCTCCAGTGCCCAGACAGTCCCCTGGAGAACGGACGCTATCATCATCATCATCATCATCATCATCATCATCATCATCATCATCATCATCATCATCATCATCAAAATCATCATCATCATCAGCATCATCATCATCAGCAGCAGCACCAAGACCATCATCATCATCAGCAGCATAAGCATCAGCATCAGCGTCAGCGTCACCATCCTCATCATCATCAGGATCATCGTACTTCTAATCATTATCATAAGCAGCATCAACATCATCACAAACGTCATCAGCAGCATCATCTTCACCATCACCGAAACCATCACCATCACAATCATCATCAGTTCCATCACCATCACCATCACCATCATCATCATCATCGTCATCATCATCAGACTAAAATCATCATCAGCATCATCCTCAGCATCATCGGCCTCATCATCATCAGCAGCAGCAACAGCAGCGCCATCGTCATTATCAGCAGCAGCATCCATATCGACATCAGCACCATCATCATCAGCACCATCATCATCAACATTATCGTCATCATCATCAACATCATCATCACCATCACCATCACCATCACCATCAACACCATCATCACCATCATCACTATCATCACCATCATCACCATCATCATCATCAGCACCATCAACATCATCATCATCATCATCATCATCATCATCATCATCATCATCATCATCATCATCATCGACGACCGCGTCGTCGTCATCGTCATATACACGATTGTCGTCATCGATTTGACGTCGCCGCCATCGTCACCGTTATCCACATGCATGACGTCATTGGCATCACCACCGTGCCCCCTGAAAATCGGTCACTGAACCTCTCCAGGCGCGCGTTCTGGTTCGGATTTCCACCAACGAATCCAGCCGTGGCGACGTGAGGCCTCTCAAAGGCGCCAGGGCGGGCAACGGCGCAAGACGCCGATCATCGAACCTCGTCGGCATCGCCATCATCGCCACCATCATTCATCATACGTGACCGCCTGGGACCGCTCCAGGGGTGTGCTCTGGCCAGGGCGCCGAGGCGTATCCTTGACGCAGCGGCGAGGAGCTCCCCGGAGACCGAAGCCCTCCGCAGACCCGTGCACCTTTGCCGTCGGCGTCACCACTGGTGCGTCCGGGTGCCCCGCGGCGGCCTCCGCCACGGAGGCCCTGGCGTCCGCTGTCTGCGCGGCCTCGGGGTCGGCCACCGTCGGGGCCTTCGGGCGCGGAGGCGCTCGCGCCCGCGGTGCTCGAGGGGGGGGAGAGGAGAGCGGGGGAGGCAGGGGGAGACGGGCGAGAGGGGGGGGCGGGGGGGGGGGACATGTCGGGTGTGGCGTGCTGCAGGGCGGCAACTGGGGCCATCATCAGCCTCACCACCACCAGCCGCTGCCCGCGAGGTCGTCGGCGTCACCACAGGTGCGTCCGGGTGCCCCGCGGCGGCCTTCTGCACGGAGGCGCTGGCGTCCGCTGTCTGCGCAGCCTTGGGGTCGGCCGCCAGCGGGGCCTTCAGGCGCGGAGGCGCTCCCACCCACGGCGCGCGAGAGGGGGGTGGGGAGGAGAAAGGGGGGCGGGGGAAGCAGGGGGAGACGGGCGGAGGAGGGCGGGGGCGTGAGGACATGTCGGGCGTGGCATGCTGCAGAGCGACAACTGGAGCCATCATCGCCGCCGTCGTCACCACCAGCCGCCGCCCGCGAGGTCGTCGGCGTCACCACAGGTGCGTCCGGGTGCCCTGCGGCGGCCTTCTGCACGGAGGCGCTGGCGTCCGCTGTCTGCGCAGCCTTTGGGTCGGCCGCCAGCGGGGCCTTCAGGCGCGGAGGCGCTCGCGCCCACGGTGCGCGAGAGGGGGGTGGGGAGGGGAAAAGAGGGCGGGGGAGGCGGGGGGAGACGGACGGGGGGGGACGGGGGCGTAAGACATGTCGGGCGTGGCATGCTGCAGAGCGACAACTGGAGCCAGCATTGCCGCCATCGTCACCACCAGCCGCTGCCCGCGAGGTCGTTGGCGTCACCACAGGTGCGTCCGGGTGCCCCGCGGCGGCCTTCTGCACGGAGGCGCTGGCGACCTCTGTCTGCGCAGCCTTGGGGTCGGCCGCCAGCGGGGCCTTCAGGCGCGGAGGCGCTCGCGCCCGCCGTGCGCGAGAGGGGGGTGGGGAGGGGAAAGGAGGGCGGGCGAGGCAGGGGGAGACGGGCGGAGGGGGGGCAGGGGGGTGAGGACATGTCGGGCGTGGGCGTGGCATGCTGCAGAGCGACAACTGGGGCCATCATCGCCGCCATCGTCACCACCAGCCGCCGCCCGCGAGGTCGTCGGCGTCACCACAGGTGCGTCCGGGTGCCCCGCGGCGGCCTTCTGCACGGAGGCGCTGGCGTCCGCTGTCTGCGCAGCCTTGGGGTCGGCCGCCAGCGGGGCCTTCAGGCGCGGAGGCGCTCGCGCCCGCGGTGCGCGAGAGGGGGGTGGGGGGGGAAAGGAGGGCGGGGGAGGCAGGGGGAGACGGGCGGAGGAGGGCGGGGCCGTGAGGCCATGTCGGGCGTGGCATGCTGCAGAGCGACAACTGGAGCCATCATCGCCGCCATCGTCACCACCAGCCGCTGCCCGCGAGGTCGTCGGCGTCACCACAGGTGCGTCCGGGTGCCCCGCGGCGGCCTTCTGCACGGAGGCGCTGGCGTCCGCTGTCTGCGCAGCCTTGGGGTCGGCCGCCAGCGGGGCCTTCAGGCGCGGAGGCGCTCGCGCCCACGGTGCGCGAGAGGGGGGTGGGGAGGGGAAAGGAGGGCGGGGGAGGCAGGGGGAGACGGGCGGAGGAGGGCGGGGCCGTGAGGACATGTCGGGCGTGGCATGCTGCAGAGCGACAACTGGAGCCATCATCGCCGCCATCGTCACCACCAGCCGCTGCCCGCGAGGTCGTCGGCGTCACCACAGGTGCGTCCGGGTGCCCCGCGGCGGCCTTCTGCACGGAGGCGCTGGCGTCCGCTGTCTGCGCAGCCTTGGGGTCGGCCGCCAGCGGGGCCTTCAGGCGCGGAGGCGCTCGCGCCCACGGTGCGCGAGAGGGGGGTGGGGAGGGGAAAAGAGGGCGGGGGAGGCGGGGGGAGACGGACGGGGGGGGACGGGGGCGTGAGGACATGTCGGGCGTGGCATGCTGCAGGGCGACAACTGGAGCCAACATCGCCGCCATCGTCACCACCAGCCGCTGCCCGCGAGGTCGTCGGCGTCACGACAGGTGCGTCTGGGTGCCCCGCGGCGGCCTTCTGCACGGAGGCGCTGGCGTCCTCTGTCTGCGCAGCCTTGGGATCGGCCGCCAGCGGGGCCTTCAGGCGCGGAGGCGCTCGCGCCCACGGTGCGCGAGAGGGGGGGTGGGGAGGGGAAAGGGGGGCGGGGGAGGCAGGGGGAGACGGGCGGAGGAGGGCGGGGGCGTGAGGACATGTCGGGCGTGGCATGCTGCAGAACGACAACTGGAGCCATCATCGCCGCCGTCGTCACCACCAGCCGCTGCCCGCGAGGTCGTCGGCGTCACCACAGGTGCGTCCGGGTGCCCCGCGGCGGCCTTCTGCACGGAGGCGCTGGCGCCCGCTGTCTGCGCAGCCTTGGGGTCGGCCGCCAGCGGGGCCTTCAGGCGCGGAGGCGCTCGCGCCCACGGTGCGCGAGAGGGGGGTGGGGAGGGGAAAGGAGGGCGGGGGAGGCCTGGGGAAGCAGGTGGTGGGGGGGGGCGGGGGGTGAGGACATGTCGGGCGTGGGTGGCATGCTGCAGAGCGACAACTGGCGCCATCATCGCCGCCATCGTCACCACCAGCCGCTGCCCGCGAGGTCGTCGGCGTCACCACAGGTGCGTCCGGGTGCCCCGCGGCGGCCTTCTGCACGGAGGCGCTGGCGCCCTCTGTCTGCGCAGCCTTGGGGTCGGCCGCTATCAGGGCCTCCACGCGCGGAAGCGCTCGCACCCACGGCGCGCGAGAGGGGGGAGGGGCAGAAGAGGAGGAGGACGGACGCGTGCCGGGAACAGCAGCAGAAACCGCAGATTGAACACATGAGAACGCACCGCGCTATCTCTCACAAGCGCATGGCGCATGCCTCAGTGCCTCTGGTCAGAACGATGGCCTGGCAACGGGGGCACGCAAGAGATCAGAGGCGGGGACGGAGATAAGAGAAATTAGGCATACATATATAATGAGTATCAGCCGGCGGCGTGCTTTGCCACCCGCTCGCGCAGTTCCCCTTAACGCCTCTAGTGCAAGTCGTTGCCCAGAGACAGGGAATCTGAAGCGGATGCGAAGGGCTTGCTGTTGCATCTACTGCTCCTGTGGGCTCTATGCTCCGAGCTTCGACCGGGATAGCGAGTACGTTCGCGCAGCGTCCTCTTCAAGCGGAGCGTGGAAGTGCCCGCCTGCGTCATCTACGTCGCCCGCATCGTCACGAGCGTCGCCGACATCGTCTCGGCAGCAGTCCGTCACCATCACCTCTGCCGTCGTCATCGACATCGCTGCGTCGCCATCGTGGTCGTTGCGATGCCCCCGTTTTCATCGCGTTCGTCGTCGTCCTCGTCGTCGTCGCCGTCCTCGTCACCGCCGTCACCGCGTGCGTCCAGGCATCCCTTGCGGCCTTCGTCACGGAGGCCCTAGCGTCCTCCACCTGCTCGGCCTCGCGGTCAACAGCTGCGAGAAGGGCCTTCCGGCGCAGATGCTCCCGCCCCGGGTGCGCGAGGGAGAGGAGGTGGGAGCAACGGTGGGGCAGGATGATGAGGGGGGGAGAAGAAGGGGGGACTGAAAAGTGGAGGAGGAGGGGGAGGACGAGGAGGGGAGGGGGAGTGGCGAGGAAGGAGGGGGAGGCAGAGGAGGGGGGGCGGGAGAGGCTGTGGGATGAAGGGCGGTAGAAAGAAATGGCGTGAAGACCAGTGACAATGCATACAATACGTAACAGCGGCGGCAGGCACGGTAGGCGTTGGATGAAAGATGTCCTGATGGAATGTCTGGGCACTCGTCGGTGTAGGCGATTCAGCTGTCCCAAAACGTTGCAGACACGCAATCGGTACAATCTTCCGACGCACGCGCCGTGGACGGCTGCGGCAACTTGCCAGTCACAAGGAGCCCCGCGTGGACTACACGATTGAGTAAGGGGCTTCGCACATGGGCAGCCAAGGAAAAAGTGTGCTGCCTTGTAGAATAGCACAGCGCCATCCTCTCCCGTGGTGTGGGACGGGGCGCCAACGCAGAAACAATCATCGCGGGAATCAAACACAACAACATAGCCCCACATCGCAATGCTCAGGCTCAAACAATCATCTTTCACAACCGTTCGCACATCGTTCCGCAACGCCTATCTATACGATCCTTTGAAGGCACGGGTATCATTCTCGTCGTCGCCATCATCGTCACCAACACCGTCGTCATTATCACCGTCGTCGCCGTCAACGTCGTCGTCATCGGCTAAACGTCGCCGCCATCGTGTCCGTCGCGGCCATCCTCATGAACGACATCGGCATCGCCATCATCGGCGCGCCGTCGTCATCACGGCCATGACCTCTGAAAGTCGACCCCTGGACATCTCCCAGGCGGACACTCTGGGACACTCTGTCTCGAACATCGAGGGGAACTCCAGGCGCGGCTGTGGCGGGCCACCCGAAGGCCCAGCAAGGTTCTGGCGAGCAAGGCGAGAAACTGACGCATGATGTGAAAGTCGACGGCAGGCGCTTGGAACACTCTTTCTCAGGTTTTCAAAGCGTTCCCTGGCCATCCGCACGCTGCATCGCCGCCAGCGTAGTCGAGCAACCCGGGTGCAGGCGCTTCGAATTCGACAAAATGTTAGTTTTTGCGTGGGCGTGGTGGTCGGATGGTAGATGACCTTGCTGGCGTCGGAGCTGCTCGATCCCCTCTGTCAGCGTTCGCCGGGCCAGCTGCACGGGGAATTCCTTGAGCTGCCAGAAGCCTGGCTGCAGCGAGCTTCGTCATTTTCAGGCGACACAGTCAAAGTCTGCAATGTTTGGGCAAACCAGCGCACAACGTCGCAGTCAAGTCAAATTGACCCGCTCGGCAACACGGAGGTAGCTGAGGACCCAGCCCAGCTCGTCGTCCGCACCCTCGGCGTGCGCCTCGTCTTCTTCCTGGCGCATGCTGGCAGCCACCGTGTGGGCGGCGACCTTGACCTGCACCAGATGTCGCATCGGAGAAGCAGCCAACTTGTCTCGGGCAAGAAGTTCCTCGAATTCCATGACGACTCGTCTGCAGGTCCGGGTGGGACGTAGCACGCGAGGACCTTGTGGGGTGTTTCTGGGACGCGTCCGTGCCAGAGCGGCTGCAAAATGCAATGGCCGGGACAGGTGAGTGGCCGGTAAGGCGAAGCAGGTGAAGTGCCTGTCCAACTGGTCGGCCGGAGAGTGGTTGGAATCGACGCGGACCAGTCCGGATCGTGCCAGCCCGCAGTCGTGGCTGCATACCGGCTGGTGAAGTTGGCAATTCCAAGGCATTGCCAGACGGCGCAAGCGCGAATCGTGGCGTTGCTGCCCCCTCCCTCCCCCCCGGTCACGCCCGCCATCGCCAGGGAGTGAAGCAATGGTCTCGTGCTCACCTTCCCTCTGCCCGGAAATCCGGCGTCTTGACCCTTCAATGTCGGGGGTGGACAGACCCCCCTTTAGTAAAACGTGGTTTAGTGAAAACGACCTGAGGCCCAAACCTGGCGGGCGCAAGCCTGGAAAATAACGGCCACGGCGCCCTCTCGAGAAGCGAAAACGGACAATTCACTAATCGACGTGTCACTGTTGGGGGTTCTGTCCGCCCCCGACAATGCGAGGTCCCTGAAAGTCGGACGGGTGGCAACGCGCGGTGACCCACATGGGGGTGAAGAACACGGCCCGAAAGGGGTCCTTCACAGGGCCCCTTTTGGGCACCGGCTGGCCCCTGCAGGGGCCCTCAAGGGCCCCTGTGATTAGGGCCCTTCTCTCCACTCCCCACTTATGGGCCACCCCCCGGTATTCTCCCGGCGACACGAGATGGCGAAACTCCTGACTTTTCTGCTCGATTCGTTTCTCGCGTTCGCTTCCCACCCATCAACTTCCTGCCGCGCGCATCCGATGTTCGTCGTCGCTTCCCTTACCAACCAATCTCTGGAAGGGCTGGGGGAGGGCTCTTCGTTTTCAGTTCCGTTTTCTCGCGTCGCCGGGAGAATACCACCCGCCCGAGGAACGGTCCCTTGACCCACTCCCCCGGTCTGGACGCCCGAAATGGGCACGGAAAAAATGGCACAATGCCCAACAACAACTGCTGTCCCAATCCAACAGCGGCCGCTGCTGGGCAGGCGGCCTTCTGTCTCAAATGGACACGGGCGGCGGCGGCGCGGACAGCGAGCCCTGCTCAAAATGAACAGGAGCTGCTGTTGGGCATCGCACCTATCCCGGACCCCCGACGTCATGACTTTTCCCTGACGCGACCCCCAGAGGTCTGGACCCATTCCCCGGGACCGGTTCTTCGTCCTGAGTCGTTTTTCGACGGTCCCGAGGCCCGGAAAGGGCCCCCAGAGGGCGAAAATAGCGAAACACCTCCCGCCGTGATTTTTGTCACGACGCGAGGGGGTCTGGGATGCTTCCCCCGCACCCACTTCGCTCGTGCCGACCCTGCACTGGCGCCGTCCTCCCCCGGCGGCCCCCCGAGGGCCCGGCGACCCGGGGCCCCTCGAGGCCGCCCGTCGGCGGCGGGAGGCCTCCGCTCCAAGACCCGCGCGGTGGCGCCGCCGCCCGCGCCGCCGCAGGGCTGCGCGTAAGGTCGGGCGTGCCGTGGTGTCCCCACCGGCGGGACGTCTACGCTGGCTTTGGCCTTTGGCGTTCAGTTTGGGCTATCTTGACCCTCGCACGTGCACATGCCACTGCGGCCAATCAGCTTCTCTCGCGTCCCGTTCGTTGTTGGCTCGCTTCTTGACCTTCGCCAGGGAGCCGCCGACCAAAAGTAAGGTCGGGCGCGTCCCCCTGCACAGGGCTGAACCTAAACAGCGTTTTTCGTGTCCGTTTCGTTTGCGTTCTCCCTCGCTCTTGTATTCCGACCCGCCTCTGCCGCAAAAACGCAGTCGAAACGGGAAACGGCCAACGAGATCGCCAAAACACCGTTTTTGTCCAGCCCTGCCCGTACAGGAGGACTTTCAACGAAAATGAAAAAACAAACATGCGCAAAAACTGTCAAAGATGGAAGAAATCGCCCCCTGACTACGTTTGGGCTATGTTCCCAGACCCCCGACGTCATGATTTTTGACGCGACCACCAAAGGTCCCGACCCATTCCCCCGGACCTGCTCTTCATCCTGAGTCGTTTTTTGACGGTCCAGAGGCCCGGCGAGGGCCCCGGGAGGGCGAAAATAGCGAAAAACCGTCGTGATGTTTTCATGACCCGACGGGGTCTGGGTTTGGATTCTCCTCCTGCGTGCAGGGGCAGGCCCGACCTCGGGCTGCGCTCGGCCCCCCCCCGCCCGCGGCGGCCTCCGCCACGGCCGAGGCGTCGGGGCTCCGCCCTGGCCGCCCGCGGCGCGGCGAGCCCGCGGGGCGCGAGCGGCGGGAGGTCTTCGACTGGCCATCGCTCGGACGTCCATTCCCTGTGTTTTTTTTTTGTTCGGTTTCGTGCGTGGCTTTCTCGCCAAATGATCAAGGATGCTCCTCGATGGTCCTCGCCGAAGGAAAGTTGCACACGTCCAAGCGATGCCAAGTCGAGGCCGAAGCCGGGACGAGGAGAATCAGATTCGGGCGAGGATCCATCGGGAATCTCCCAAATCCGCCCAGGGGTGCTAAGAAGGCTCCACGGGCCCAAGGTGCCCCCCCAGCTTTTCGCTCCACTCTGGAGCGCCTGGGCCCTCCGGGCCTCGCGAGGGGCCCTCTGGAGGGCGTGGGGGGCCTCCCCGGAAATCCCGGGGGCACCTCGGGCCAGGGGCACTTCTAGCAACACCCGAATCTGGCAGCTCTGGGGAATGCCTCGGGCGCCAGAGCGCTCCGGAACGGATGCGTCCTCGCCCTGGCCCCGCCCGATCTTCGAAAAACCGATGGGGGGCCAGGAAGCTCGCTGGCGGCACGCTGAGGGGCCACAGGGCCAGATCGGGCCAGGCTGGGCCGGGGATGGAGCTCCAGCTGAGACGGAACTGAGCGGGGGCATGCTAGATTCGGCCAGTCTTCGACCACGGAGATGGCAGCGCCGACAAGAGTTGCATCCTCAAGGATGGGTCGGGGGGAGGGAGGGAGACGAGCGCAGGGAGAGCGAGACCGCTCCAGACCGAATCGCAGCAAATGCACACGATCAGACACAGTCGGGGCACACACACACACACTTCGTCCAACGTTTAGGGTCCCAAGCAGAGGGAAGAAGAACCACCTTCACAAGAACCACCCCGAAAGGCCTTCACAAGAACCACCCAGACAGGCGAAGGCCTTCTGACAACCGCACCTCACCAAAAAAACATCGAACAGGGCAGGGCTGCTCAAGAGACGCCCGGTGTCGTGTAGTCCGTCCTCCGTTCACCAGGGTGCCCCAGAGCTCCTGTGGGTCCCTCGGTCCACTGGGGGATGATCAGCTTCCATGGAGCACCTGCTGGCAGACAGGGTTCTTCTTTGGTGCACCTGCAATTCGGGAGCGGCTCAGAGGGGGGTGTCCAAGAGGCGGGGGGGCAAATCATGACCGGCGGCACGTGCGCGGCCCGGGGGGGGGGGGGGGGCCAGGGACGTCATGAAATAAGGAGAGGCGCCATGAAATCTGGGGAACTGTCGTGGCCCACGCCACGATATCCACCCCCCCCTCTTGTCATCCCCCCCCCCTCTGCCGCCCCCGAACAATAGGAGCAGCGGCGGGCGCGGGCGCGTCTGCCCGGGCCGCGCAGCGCGACCAGGATCGCATGCGGTGCCGGGCCTGGCCGCTCGGCAGCGCGACCAGGGGCTCGGCAGCGCGGCCGGCCGCGAGAAGAGGGGGAAGATCGGACGAGTCGCCGCCGAGACGGACAGGACACGATGGTCCAAGACGCCCATGATGGCTCCCCACACGGTCCACTGTGGCGCCCAGTACGCCCAGGATGCCCGAAAGCGAGCTCCCCGCCCCAAAAAGGCCCCAGGGAAGACCAAGATTGGTCCAAGAAGGTCCCTGATTACAGTCGGACCTAGGCCAGAAGAGCCTCCCTCAGAAACATCAGACCCTCCGTCGGCCAAAACAAACAGAACATCCAAGGGTACCCTCCCCAGGATGGACAGTAACATCCAACAAGCACGAAGAACACGAGGGTACCCTCCCCGAACCGACCTCGATCTGACACCTCGGTCCGACTGTACCTCATGATGGCCTACATGAAGGGGCCCTGGGACACACAAATAGATACACACCACAAATACAAGGATTCCCCATGTTTTCATATATTTTCTGGGTTTTTGTCTTCCACTTCTCATATTTTTCCATATTTTCCTGGGAATCGACAATTAATTGTGTCTGTGTGGTTTTTTTCCCCTCCTGATCACAGCCCCCCCCCCCCCCCCCCTGGGGCCGCCAGCCCAGCGAACCCTCGCCACACCCGCCCAGCACGCGGGGGCGCCCACGGGGTGGTCACGGCCGCCCACTGGGTGGAACATCGCCACGTCCACTTTGCCCATCAACTGCAACAACAGCCTCCTCCTCCTCCTCCTCCTCCTCCTCCTCCTCCTCCTCCTCCCTCCCGTGCTGGGAAGATGATAGAGACACTGTGGGCGATCCGCGCGCAATAGTATTCGTTTTGGCTCCCGAAGTCCCGTGCGCTGCGCTTAGCTCGAGAAATTAGGTGCTACTCGCTCGTAGCCCTCCCATGTTGAGCAAACACATGGGAGTAAAGTCGGAGCAGCGCACGCTGAAACGAGGGGAATGAAAACCTGACTCGAAACGTTGACGCGAGAAGGAGGAACGGAGAGAAGGAGAGACGGGGGAAAGAGAGATAGAGAGAGGATACGCAAAAAAGAAGGACGAAGTGTAAATAACGACGGCCCCGCCACGTCTTTCCCGTCTTCGTTTTTTTTTCCGACGGCTGGCACCGGATCGCCGTAACCCAGGCTTGCGGACGCGGGAGCCGGCGGTGGACACTCCTGGGACTCCTGGGCATGTCCCCCTTCCGCTTTCCTTCTTGGCCACGCCTTGGTTCCCCTTCCTCCTCGCCGTTCGTCAAATAACCGTCATCTCCACCATCATCCTTTCCCTCGCCCTCCTCCTTTCGTATCCCTCCATCATCGACGTGCACCATTTCTTCCTGCTGCTCCTCCACCTTCTCCTCCTGCTCCAGCTCCTGCTCCTCCTCCTCCTCCTCCTCCTCCTCCTCCTCCTCCTCCTGATCCACATCCTCATCCATCTGCCCCCGCCTCCTTCTCTTCCTCCTCCTCCTCCTCCACCTCCTCCTCCTCCTCCTCCTCCTTCTCATCCCCTCCCCGCCCCCGCCCCGTTCCGTCCCTCATCGGCGGTAATGACGGCGCGAGGCGCTCACCCTTCCCCTCCCCCGCCCAGCGCCCGTCCTGGCGCGCCAGACCCCCGGGACTGCTCTATCGCCTCCCGCAGCTGCGCCCTGTGCTCCTCACCGACGCCCCGGGCCTGCCCCGTGACCTCCCGCAGCTGCGCCGTGTCCGCCTTGACGAGGCGGGGTCGCGGAAGCCCCAGAGATCCGACGCTCCAAAAAATTGGAGTGGCTGGATTTTGACAGTTTTCGGCCTCCGGGGGCCCTCGCCAGGCCTCGGGGGCGTCAAAAACGACCCGGGGCGAAAAACAGGCCCCAATCTGGGGCCGGTATTTCGTCCCGAATCGTTTTCTGACTACCTCCCTGATAAGAAATGGCCGGTCTTGACTTCCGGGGAACACGCATCCAAAAAATTGGAGCAGTCGGATGTCTGGGGCGGCGGGGGGATGAGGGTGGGCGGGTTTTGTCCAGGCGAGTTCGTCCAGTTTCGGACCCCGGGGGTCCTGACAGGTCGACGCGGCCCAGAAAAGGCAGCAGAAGGGTGGGCTCAGGGACCCATGCCGTGATATCTTGCGATGTTGCAACTTTAGAATAACGGCGGATCTCAGGGAGGGAGGAGGGGTGCCCAGGATGGGGAGGGAGGGTCGGCCGACGCAACGACGGTCCTCCCGGCCATTTTTGGCCCTCCTGGGCCTCCTGGGCGCTTCTCGCTGCTACGGCTGGATCCGCTTCGAAAAGCTGGTCAGGGCGGAAGGGCACTGGGGAGCGATTTGAACCGAATTGGGCCAGGCGGAAGAACCGCCGTTGTCACAACTGACCCTCCTCCGAGAGGGACAGGATAGAGGAATAAGGAGTTGGGCGCAGAGGAAAGCTGTGCCCACTACTTCCAGTGAGCTCTCTCCGATTGACCACCAACGCTCGCACCTGGGGCTTGAGAGCAGAAGTGGCCACGGTGAAAGTCGTCGCGAAGCCAGTTGCTTTTCCCTCTGGCTGCCTCCACAACCTCCTTGACCCGACGAGCCAGCTGGTCAAGCCACACGCATCGCCATCAACAAGGGCACGAAGATGCACCATGAGGCATTTCGGCGCGTCCCCTTCCCAACTCCTGCTCGTCAGCGCCACCAAAAAAGAATGCATGCGCGCGCAGCTTGGCAATATCCCCACCAGCCTATCACACGTTGCTCAAACTGTCACAGGCGCCCATCGCTCTCGGCATGCATTAGTAGGGGGCCAAGTAGGTGGCCATCGGCACATTCCTATTAGCAGGTAAGCGTAAGCTGGCACTGTTCTTTCAAAGTCCTCGCCTGCACAGTCCTCACCTTTGCCATCACACAAACGAGCACTGCATTCTCGCGTTCGCCCATGCGACGGTGCGTAAACGTCGAGACCGAAGACGTATGTCTGTCTTCTCCTGCTGCCCCACCCGCGCCCCTCCCTCGGGCTCACCCTGGCTGCGCTCCAGACTTGCTCTCGATGTCAACCGTCCCACACGGGCCCGCACTGTGATGACCTCGTGGGTGAGGGTCACCAGTCTGACCCCTTCCCTCCTCTCCTCGGGGTCCCCGACGTCTCCGCATACGTTTTGCGCCGCGGGGTCCCAGCCTACATCAAGCCACTCATGTTCAGACTCATTCTCGCCAATGACCGCTCAGATTCAACAGCTTGGCCCCAGACTCGCGCACACTCAGACTCATGTGTTATCACATCCACCCGCACTCGGACCCCCTCACGTTTCGTTTGCCATCCGCAGGGCGCCCGGTGGCAGAGAAAAGGAGGACGAGAATGGGAAGGAAGGGGGGGAAGCCGCAGCCGACTCCGTCAGGCGCAGCCGACTCGTGTGCTGTCTGATCCAGACCACACTCGGACCCGCTCAGAACCAGACCGACTCGTACCCACTCGCTCGCTGTCATTAAGTCGTGCTCGCACCCACTCACACGCAAACTCCGTCGTGAGCAATCATGCTCAGACTCACTCATACCTAATTTCGCTGCTCAAGCCCAGGCCCTTGTATACTTATATCCATCTGGCCATGTGCATTAAGACCCTATCATACCCAGACCGACTCGCACTCGGACCGTCTCAGGCCTAGTCGCCCATGCTCAGGCTCAGTCACTTTCAAACACACGCGTACCCAATGATCCACACTCGCGATCGATGATGACCGCAACATGTCGTATCCCCCCCCTTCCACCGATAACAGGAACATGTTTTTTCGGGCGGGCCTATTGACGGATTGGGACCCCAACAATATCGGGAACAGAATTATCCCCTGGCGGAGGCCACCGCTGATACGGGAGCATGCCGACCTCAGATGGTGATGATGATGATGATGATGATGATGATGATGATGATGATGGTGGCGATGTTGGTGATGATGGTGATGATGTTGATAGTGCGGCTGATGATGATAGTAATGCTAATGATGATGCTGACGATGACGATGACGATGATGATGATGATGATGATGATGATGATGATGATGATGATGATGATGATGATGATGATGATGATGCTACACCTCTGCCAATGCCGAAGTTCTGCTAAATATATGCCACCAGGCTCTCAGCACGACGCCGTGCCTGGCCTCTGGTGGTGGTGGTGTTGTTGCTGATGATGCTGTCGATGGTGATGATGCTGGTGACGATGGCGTTGGCGATGACGATGATGCTGATGCGGATGGCTCATGCTGATGATGATGACGACGATTGTGATACTGATGATGATGATGACGATGATGATGATGATGTTGATGGTGATGATGATGATGCTAATGATGATGCTTATGCTGATGACGTTGATGGTGATGCTAGTGATTATGAGTATGATTGTAATGATGATGCGGATGATGATGATGCTAATGATGATGATGTTGGTGATGCTGATGATGATGCTGATGTGGATGATGATGCTGATGATGATGATGATGATGGTGGTACTGCTGCCAATGATGATGCTGCTGATGATGCTGATTGTGCCGATTGTGTCGATGACGATGGTGCTGCGTATCATGATGATGATGCTGATGATGACGATGCTGATGCTGTTGCTGATGATGATGATGATGCTAATGATGCGGATGATGGTGATGCTGCTCATGATGATGCTGATGATGACTATGATGATGATGATGATGATGATGATGATGATGATGATGATGATGATGATGATGATTATGATGATGATGATGATGATGATGATGATGATGACGATGCTGATGATGATTATAGTGATGGAAGTGGTAATGGTAATGGTGGTTATGATGATGATGCTGCTGATGTTGACGATGATGGCGATGATGATGTTGTTGTTGATGTTGATGCTGAGGATGAGGGGAAATACGAGGAGGGAAGGACGCATCAACTTGCCAGCCAAGAGGTTCGGGGGGGGGGGGGCAACATTGAAGACCCTCTGCGATTACCCAGTCGCCCAGCAAGGTCAGTGGTCGAAAAGAGACGCCAACCGTTGATCCACTTGCAATCGCGGGATTGCTGTTACCGTGAGAACAACTTCAGCATCCCCCACTCCTCGTCCCCCTTCCTTTTTGATCCCGTCCTCCTTTCCTCCCTCCGGCCCCCTCTCAAGGGGCCCTGGGACACACAAATAAATACACACACAAATAACAGGATTTCCAATATTTTCCAATCCGCCGGCCCCGTTGTGGGGCCACCAGGCTGTAGGGCGAAGGTTCGCAGTTTCCTGTACCAGTAGTTGCAGCTTCCAGCTTCCACTGTTACAGTTCTGCTTCTTGCTGCTTACTGTTCCTTGTTGATGGACCGCGCGAGGAGGGGAGGCGCAAAACTGGCATTCTTACCGCGCCCAAATCGTATTGTCTGAATTGCTGGGGTGCGTAAAACTTGGCACCCCTCACGCAGATCGGCGGGGTCAGGGTCCAAAAAGACATGGGATTTGCCACATTTCTGAAATTAGGTAGCACCCCTCACGCAAATCGGCGGGGTCAGAGTCCAAAAACATTTGGGATTTGCTACATTTCTGAAATTAGGTGGCACCCCTCACGCAGATCGGCAGGGTCAGGGTCCAACAACACAAGGGATTTGCCACATTTCTTAAATTCGGCGGCACCCCTCACGCAGATCGGCAGGGTCAGGGTCCAAAAACACATGGGATTTGCCAGATGTCTTAAACTCGGCGGCACGGCACACGCAGATCGGCAGGGTCAGGGTCCAAAAACACACGGGATTTGCCAGATTTCTGAAACTCGGCGGCACCCCTTACGCAGATCCGTAAGGTCAGGGTCCAAAAACACAGGGGATTTGCCACATGTCTGAAATTCGGTGGCACCCGTGACGCAGATCCGTAGGGTCAGGGTCGAAAAACACACAGGTCCCGACACTGTTTCACGGCGGGCCCCAGATCTCATGATTTAGCTTTTGCATCTCCCATTATCCGAGACAGGGGGCCGGCGGCATGGGGCGAAGCCCTTACGGATATTTTTCTGGGTTTTCGTTTTCCCCCCCACTTCCCTTATTTTTCCAGATTTTCTGGGGAATCGTCGATTAATTGTGTCTGTGTGTTTGTTTCTCTCCTGACCCTCCTCTGCCCTCGTTGCCCCTCCCCATGCCCCTTGGTCATCTGTCTTCTTGCTTCGTGCGCGGGGAGACGCGGCTAGCTTCGTGATCTCGCACTGCCTCCCTGGCGGCTCCTGGAGAGAGTCGCCTCTCAAGCCTAGGCCGCGAAGCGCGATTGCCCTAACGCCCTTGCGGGCGATTTCAAACAAAGTCTACCCCAGATCCAATCAAAATCTGTCTCTGATCCCTTCCGAGGATCTATTCTGGCGAGATTCCCGAGTTTCACGCAGCCAAGGCCACAGAAGCGTGAAGCCCTCAACACTACATCCGAAGTACCCCTGCTCCCTCCCCCCCCCGCTCCTCCCTACTCCGCACCTTCTCGTTCCTGGACTGTGCCACGCTGGGCCTGCCGATCGGTCGCGGCCCCTGGATGCTGTCCTGCCGCAGGACAGCCACAGCTCATCCGCGGGCCCAGTGAACACGGGGCCGCCCGCGCCGACCGAGATGCGGACGAGGCCAGGCCATGCGCTCTCGAGTCGACACCCCCTCCTAGGGGAACAAAAACTGGCATAAACATAAAAACTCGGAGGTCCGCGCGGATTTCTCGGATCGGCGCTGGGGCCCCCCGGCGGCGCCTCCGGCGCCGCCCCTGGCGCGCGGAGCGCGCCAGGGAAGGGGGGTCCAACGCCGATCCGGGAACTCCGCGCGGACCTCCGGGTTTTTCTGTTTATGCCACTTTTTGCTCCCCTACCTCCGCCCTCCGCCCCGTGGGCTGCCACGAGCGCCTCGGCGGCGGCCTCGGCGGGCGCTGCCGCGGACGCGGGAGGGGGTGCCGCCGGCGGGGGCTGCGGCAGAGCCGGCGGGGGCGCGGCTGGGGGCGCCGGCGCCCCCCGCGGGGGCGCCGGCGCGGGCGGCGGGGGCGCCGGAGCGGCCGCCCTGGGGTGGGGGCGCCGGCGCCCCCCGCGGGGGCGCCGGCGCGGGCGGCGGGGGCGCCGGAGCGGCGCCCTGGGGTTCCTGGGTGGCGGCGCGGCGGGAGGGCGGGAGTGTTGAGGCCCAGTAAAAGACGACCAGCGTGCTGACCGCCATCGCGACACGGGGTGCGTCGCGCATTCGTCGCCCGTGCGCCGCCCGTGCGTCGGCCGCCGAGAAGGCCGCCGAGAAGGCCAGCCGTGACTGGGCCTTCACAGGCGGGAGGGGGATGTCTGTTGGAAGCTGCGCGAGGGCTGGCAAATCCGTGGCTGCTGAAAACTGTCTTCCCGGAAGGAACAAAACAGATTCCCGGAATCGAGTTCAGCGCACCAAATAGAATTTGCGGGCTGCTTCCCGGAAGAGGAAACAATTTCCCGGAGCTCCGTTTCAGCAGCCACGGGTTTGCCAGCCTTCGCCCAACTCCTGAGTCTGGTTCGGATGGCCGGAGCCCGTCGCAGGAGTGCACGCCAGTGAAGGGAGAGGAGCTCGAGAGGATCTGAATCGACAACATATCGCGAGGGAGGACACCTTTTGTCCACTCGCCAGTCGTTCGCCACTGGCGCGGCCAATTCTTGCTGTCGCAGCGGCCCAGGCACCTCGCTTTCATGTATGTCCACTCGATGGCGTCCGCGAGCTTCCTGTCACCGCCAAACTGGAATAGGAGAAGCCCGCCGACATGGAACTTGAGCCGGGCAGCAGCAGCAGCAGAAGCAGCAGCAGCAGCAGCAGAAGCAGCAGCAGCAGCAGCAGCAGCAGCAGCAGCAACACGCATGAGACGCAACCGTCGATCGAGCCGCGTTCCTTTCAGAGGGTGGGCGGGCGGGGAGCGTGCTGGGAGGCCTGTTGGGGCTTCTCCTTGGGAGAGGGGGCTTCTGGTTCCGAGGCCCCCTGGGCGGGGTGCTCCCCCGGAGGGCGGCGAGCTCCGCGCGTGCGGAGTGCACTGCTCGGAGCCGCCTGCAGCGTGGAAGCCCTCGTGCACAAGCGGCTTACGGTGCTCAGGATCAAAATAACTAGTCCCAACAAAAATTTGGGCTGATGTGGTAACAATACCTTTCCTTCCACTTCCAGAACCCTTCCTCCCTTCGAGGGAAGGGTATTCTAATCCTCCCTTCCCTGATTTTTTTTTGAGCGGGCCGCCGCAATCGGTCAGACCGTCCAAGATGGTTCCAAGAGGGCCTGCAATGCTCCAAGATGGCCTGACGAGGGCCACAAGATGGTTCCAAGTGCTCTCGGCCCAAACCCTTCAAACACCTACGGAAAATCAAAGATGCATGCTTTCTCGCCTTGTCGCTTCCGATGCGCCTTTGAAACCTCAACATGACCCAAGAGAGGGTCAAGAGGGGCCCAAACGGCCCCCCAGACGGCCCTAAGAGCGCCCAGCAGCGGCCCAAAATTGCCCCAAGAAGGCCTCAAGAGGCGATTTCGATGGCTCTTGAGGGGGGGGGGGACGGACATCGAGGACCCACCCTCCTTTCCTTTGACCGACGCCCTACAAGATGGCCCCAAGAGGCCTTACAGGGCTCCCGAGAAGGCCCCAAGAGAGCCCCAAACCCCAAGATGCCCCAAGAGCGCTCCAAAAACGTCTCACAAAAGGGCCCCAAGAGGCCGTTTGCCGCCTCCTCCTCCTCCTCCTCCTCCTCTTCCTCCTCCTCCTCCTCCTCTTCCTCCTCCTCCTCGCCCTCATCCTCCTCCTCCTCGCCGTCCTCGTCCTCATCCTCATCCTCCTCCTATACCTTCTCCTCCTCCTCCTCCTCATCCGCCTCCTCCTCCTCCTCCTCCTCCACCTCCTCCTCCTCCTCCTCCTCCTCCTCCTCCCTCCTCCTCCTCCTCCTGCTCTTACTCCCTCCTCCTCCTCCTCCTCCTCCTCCTCCTCCTCCTCCTCCTCCTCCTCCTCCTCCTCCTCCTCCCCTCCTCGCCCCCCCCCCCCCCCGCAGGCCCCAGGGATGGCCCGAAGAGGCCCTCCAAGGCCACCCCTTTGCACTCAGAGATCTCTCTGTTCATCCTGTTTGCCCGCCCTCCTGTTCCACTCTGTGTTTCCTTTCGTCCCTTGCCCCGTTAGCTCTCATGGGCATGGCTTCTGAACAGGCTGGTGGGGATATGTTTTGGTCTGCGTGCTCGCAAAGCAAGCCGAAAACCGTCCGATCACTCGCGGGGCCGCGACTAGGCAGCAAGACAAGAGAGGGGCAAGCGAAGCGAGCGCGCGGGCAGCCACTCAGAAGGAGCACCAGGAGCGGCACTCCCAACCCGGTGGCGTGGAAATCCCGATGGCGACCATCAAGTAAGCGCAGCCAAAATGGCTCGGCGGCGCGACCATGAACACGCAAAGGTCGATCACCCGGTGTGAGTCGGCATAGGGCCCGACAAAAACGAGCAGGTCCGACAGGCACTCCAGGGCGACATCCGTGCCGTAGGTGACACAACAGCATCGTGTCGGCGCCGGAGTGAAGAGGGGGCAGCCTCGTCACAGGCAGGACTGCAAACGGCAGATCCTCTTGTATGTACACCCGGTGGAACAGGTCGAAAAAGCGAGACTCCTTGTAGGAGGAAGCAGCCGACGGGCGCCCAAAGCCACACATGCCGAAATCCTTGCACCGCTGGTGGGAATGCGCGAAGCGTGAAACAATACATTCCTGATGCAGGTCACTCTTTGCGTCTTCACCCTTCCGTCCTTGAGCTCTTCCTCCTCCCCTTCTCGCGCTAACGGTGACTGCTTGCGCTACCGCTGCTGCTTCCGTTGCGGTTACTCGCCGTCCCAATGCTCGTCATCCTTCTCCTCCTCGTCGCCGTGCATGTTCGCTTCCTTTCCCTCTCCCCCTTTCTCATCCACCTACTCTCCTCGACCCCCTGTTGCTCAACGAGCTGTGCATCAGAGTGAAGGGGCCGAACGTTCATTCACTGCGTGCGTGGCTGAAGTGGGGTTCCGCGGGGCGGATTGTTGAATTCTCGTTCCTCAATCATTATTGATCCCCCCCGGTGCCCAGTGTGTTTTTCAATGAAAGTGCTCCTCCCATGGCTCACACCCTGTATTTTTACAAGGGAAATCTTGAGGCTCAGATTGGGATGTTGCCCCCCCGAGCTACAACAACAACGGATCCCGTCTTGCGCTCTCGCGCAGGACTTCCACACAATGTATGCAGGAATCGCGCTCTCGCGTGGAACTTCCTCGCAATTTGTTCAGGCGCCGCGCGCCCTCGACACTCAGGAATCACGCTCTCGCATGTGGCCTTTCTCACGATGTATGCCCCATCTCAGCGCTCCCTTCACGCGTTTCGTGGCCCCGTAGAGAGCTCCACCGACGGCGGTTCTCTCAACGGCGGCACTCACAACTGCATATGGTTGGCTTCGCCAAGATGACTTCTGGTTCAGGCTCTGGCTTCAATCCCGGAATCGTTATGTTTCGGTTTCGGCGAAACGCTTTTCTTGACCGTTTTTTCTCCAGATCAAAAATTCTGGAAACGTTCAGGAAAAAAACACTAAGGTCCTGGCTCTGAGGAAGGTAAACGGCCTAAACATACACTCTTGGGGCTCCGCGCGGATTTCTCGGATCTGCGCCAGAGCCCTCTCATTGGCGAGCGGAGCGCGCCAGGGGCGGCACCGAGGCGCCGCCAGGGGGCCCCAGCGCGGATCCAAAAAATCCGCGCGGAGCGTCACAAGTTTATGTTATGGCGTTCTTTCTTCTCCGATGGTAGCCCTCGCAAGACACACATGAGGCTCCAGTCCGCAAGCCGCCACGTGCCACCAAGTGAGGGACAAACATTATCTTCAACTCCCTCTGGCCTGCGAGCCGCAGCCCCTGACCCAGACCGATGGGACAACGAACCTGCGATTGGCCATGCGGTGGGGGGCATCGGATAAGGAACCCTTAGATAAGGAATCCAGGGTCTGGAAGCTGGTGGAACTCCACTCGAGGCTCGGGCATGGATATCACCACCGCCCTCATGAGATGAGCAATCCTCCAGGGACTGAAGCCTTCTGTAGGGGAACAAAGAGTGGCATAAACAGAAAAACTCGGAGGTCCGCGCGGATTTCTCGGATCGGCGCTCGACCCCCCTCCCTGGCGCGCTCCGCGCGCCAGGGGCGGCGCCGGAGGCGCCGCCGGGGGGCCCAGCGCCGATCCGAGAAATCCGCGCGTACCTCAGAGTTTTTATGTTTACGCCACTTTTGATTCCCCTATTCTGGGCGCATTCCTCAACCAACGCCCCCACCGTATTCGGCTATACGCAAGAGTGACCCTGGGTAAGAGTGACCCTTGGTGCGCGACTTCTGGGGGGCCGCGGGGGGACCAAACCTGGGCGCGCAAGCCGCTGCTGCCGCTTCGTTCTCAGCCATCTGAGGGCCCATCTGTCTCCTAATTTTCTTAGGGTGGAGGGCTCAGGGTGAAATCCATGTGGGCTTCCGTACCTCGAAAACCAATCCGTCTTGTGATGCACCTTTTGCAGATTCAAGCCTCGAAAACCAATCGAAACGGCATTTCTGATTTCACCCTTTGCCCTCCAGCCAAAGAAAATGCTCGGCCTGTGCCCGCACCAAAGGTCCCTCGACGTGTCCGAGAGGCGACCCCCGCTGGCCTTGCCCGGCGCGCGCCGGCGAGCTCCTGCGCGAGGGGCGCGGGCGCCCGGGCGGGCTGCGGGGCGGCGGCCACCACGGGCGCGCGGCCGGGGCCCTCCGCGCACGGGGGCAGGGCGAGCGCGCGCCCGAGGCGGGCAGGCGGACGAGGCGAGCGACGGAGCGGTGCCATGGCTGGGGGAACAGAAAGTGGCATGAACGTAAAAACTCGGAGGTCCGCGCGGATTTCTCGGATCGGCGCTGGGGCCCCCCCAGCGGCGCCTCCGGCGCCGCCCCTGGCGCGCGGAGCGCGCCAGGGAGGGGGGTCCAGCGCCGATCCGAGAAATCCGCGCGGACCTCCGAGTTTTTACGTTTATGCCACTTTTTGTTCCCCTAATGACGTCTTGCGCACGTGCCGGGGCGGTGCTCCTTTTGACTGACTGCCTACCAGACCACTCCAACCCAACCCGGAGGCTCGAATTTCGGGTTGGGGGGGTACGGGTTCCGTGTGTGTTTTTCAAACTCTTCCCCGATGTCCCCCCCCAAGCCGGAAACGGAGGGCAAATCGGGGCCTTCGGGTTGGGTTGGGATGGGTTGGTGGTGAGTGACCTTGTGCGTGCACTCGTCGGCAGAACAGTCATTACCACAACGAACGGCGAAGCAGGAACGACGAGGCTTTTCTGACCATGGCGAGCCTCGACCGTCAGGAGCGGCCAGAAATCAGCGTCAGCCTGGCGCTCAGGCCAGAACCCTGCAGGGGTAAACACGTCGGCCCGATTGGGTCCAAAAGCTGCAGCCACGTGTTTTGATCATGAGTTCTTGCGCACGTGCTGGGGCAATACCCCTATGCCCATTTGCATGCATCCATCTTCCGTAATCAGCCTGGCGCTCAGGAGAGTTCCGCAGGGGAGAAAACGTCGGCCGAATTGCGCCCCAAAGCTGCATCAGCGTGCTAGGATCATGACTTCTTGCGAGGGTGAAGGGGCAGAGCTCCAATAACCTTTGTGCGTGCACCCATCTTCCGTAGTCAGTCTGGCGCTCAGGCCAGAACCCCGCAGGGGACGAAACGTCAGCCCGACACCGCCCAAAAGCTGCATCGGCGTGCTTTGATCTTGACTTCTTGCGCGCGTGCTGGGGCAGTGCTCCCATGCCCTTTTGCGTTCCCCCATCGTCCGTAGTCGGTCTGGCGCTCAGGCTAGAGCCGCGCGGGGGGGAGGAAACGCCAGCCCGACACCGCCCAAAAGCTGCATTGATCGCCCAGCTTCCTTGACATCCGCCGACATCAGAGGACACGAAACCACATAAACACCAACGGTTGGAGGTCCGCCGGATTTCTTGGATCCGCGCCATACCCCCCTCCCTGGCGCGCGGAGCGCGCCGGGGGCGGCGCCGGAGGCGCCGCCGGGGGGCCCAGCGCAGAACCAAGAAATTCGCGCGGAGCGCCAGAAGTTTATGCTTTTAGCGCTCCTTCTTCTTCTTCGAGACATGGTTTCTCGATCCGCGGCCCGGCCGCTTCGCCTGCGGGGGCTTCTTCGTGCGGGATCCATGTTTGACGGCCCTGGGGCCGAGTGACGGACCCCGAGGGCCAAATCCGCCGACCCTGTCGGCGTGTGTGAGGGGCTTGGCTGTTCGAGTCGTCGTCTCCGTCAGTCGTCGTCTCCGTCGCCCCCTTTCCCTGCACCCTCCTCCTCAAGCTTGTCAGCGAGAGAACAATCTAGCAATGTCGACATCGAGTCGAAGGGAAGCCCCTTACCTTTGATCCCTTCCCCGCGGGGGGGGGGGTTCCCGGGGGGTCCTGGGGGGTCAGGGGGGGTCGCCACGCAGATACTATTTCCCCCCATGGGGGCCGTGGAGCCTCAGAAAGTACCAAGACAGGCCAAGAGTGTCCCAAGAGGCCGCCGAGACGGTCCAAGGGGGCCTCTAATCACCAAACGATCGGTCCAAAACGCCTTCACGCCCTCCAGACTGCCCAGGAGGCCTCCAGGACGCCCCAAGACGCCTGCAAGAGCACTCCCGAGAGGGCCCCAAGAGGCCAAATTCAATTTGCTGCTGGTTGTTTTAAGATTTGGGCGTTCTCGCCTTTTCCACTTCCCGCCGCTCCAAAACGGCGCGCCAGAAGCCCCCAAGATCTCCCCAAGACGGCCCAACAGGCCTCCAAGAAGGCCCCCAAACAGCCCAAGATGACCCCAAGACAGCCCAAAACGCCTCCAAGACTGCCCCAGATGCCCCCAAGACGGCTCCAAGAGCGTGCCCAGACGGGGACCCGAACATACATTTTGAGCCCTCGGCCCCACGAGGCTCCCAGGAGGCCCCTAGAGGTCCCCCGGAGGCCCCAAGAGGCCCACAAGAAGTCCCCAGGAAGCCTCAAGAGGCCCCCAAGAGGCTCCCAAGAAGCCCCCAAGAGGCCCCCAAGAGTCCCCAAAATGCCTCCCCAGAGGCTTCCGAGAGACTTCCGAAGAGATCTAATAACCATCCCTGAGGACTCTGGCCCACGTCCGTATCGTCGTTGTTGCCGCCGCCGCCGCTGTCGTCGTCGTCGTCGTCGTCGTCGTCGTCGTCGTCGTCGTCGTCGTCGTCGTCGTCGTCGTCGTCATCGTCGTCGTCGTCTCCCTTCAGGGTCGGCGGCACCGGCGTCAAGGCCTTCGCAATCTAGGAAAACCCTCAGCAGAAACGAAACACATCGGAGGGGATCTTGACTGATGATTTGTTCCAACCATCCTGCGTTGAAATGGGCCCTCGTTTTGAAACATCAGCGCCGAGCCACCTCCTTCCCTCCTTCGTCGCCCTCCTCCTCCCCCTCCTCCCGCATCTCTCCCACCACACCACTGTGGCGCACCCATGACACGTTTCGTAGCCTGATAGGGAGCTTCACCTGGGGACCCAGTGGTTGCGCCCGCGTGCCGTCAAGACCCTACTTTGGCACACCCTTCACACGTATCGTTTCTCCGAAGGGAGCTCTGCCTACGGCCCCAGTGTTTGCGCCCGCATGCCGCCGCCGCCCCACGCTGGCGCACCCCTCACACAACCTGTGGCCCAAGAGGGAGCTCCACCTGCGGCCCCAGTGGTTGGGCCAGCATGCCGCCACCACCCCACTTTGGCGCACCCCTCACACGTTTTGTAGCCCCATAGAGAGCTCCACCACCTAAGGCCCCCGTGGTTGCGCCCGAGTGCTGCCACCGCCCCACTGTGGCACACCCTCACACGTTTCGTAGCACCATAGGGAGCTCCGCCTACGGCCCCAGTAGTTGCGCCCGCATGCCGCCACCACACCACTTTCAAACCCCCCTCCTACGTTCCGTGGCCCCACAGGGAGCTCCACCTACGGCCCTAGTGGCTGCGCCCGCATGCCGCCATCACCCCACCCTGGCATACCCCATCACACGCTTCGTAGCCGCATAGGGAACTCCATCCAGGGCCCCAATAGCTGCGCCCGCATGCCGCCACCGCCCCTCCTTGGCGCACCCCTCACACGCTTCGTGATCCCAATCGGGAGCTCCTTCTGCAGCCCCAATGATTGCGCCCGCATGCCGCCACCACCCACTGCACGTTGGCGCCCCCCTCACGCGTTTCGTAGCCCCATACGGAGCTCCATCTAAGGCTCCAGTGGTTGCGCCCGCATGCCGCCACCCACTTCGGCACACCCCTCACGCGCTTCGTGGCTCAATAGGGAGCTCCACCTAAGGCGCCAGTGCTTGAGGCCGCATGCCGCCACCACCCCAGTGTGGCCCACCCCTCACACGCTCCGTGGCCGAATAGGAAGCTCCACCAAAGGCCCCAGCGGTTGGTCCCGCATGCCGCCCGCCCCCCCCCCGGGCGCACCCCTCACTCGTTTCGTTGCCCCACTGGGAGCTCCATCGAAGGCCCCAGTGGTTCGGCCCGCATGCCGCCACCGCCTCTCTCTGGCGCACCCCTCACACGGGTCGTGTCCCCAATAGGGAGCTCCGTCCGCGGCCCAATGCTTGCGCCCGCGTGCAGCCACCGCTCCACTTTGGCACACCCCTCACACGCGTCGTGGCCCAGTGGGGAGCACCACCCCACTTTGGCGCACCCATCACACGCTTCGTGCCCCAATATGGCGGTCCACCCAAGGTTGGTCCCGCATGCGGCAACCAGTCCACTTTGGCGCATCCCTCACGCGCTTCGTGGCACAATCGGGAGCTCCACCTAAGGCCTCCTTGGTTGCGCCCACATGCCTGCACCGCGCGTTGGCGCACCCCTCACACGCGTTTTGCCCCCAATGGGAGTCCCGTGTAAAGCCCGGGTGGCTGTGCCCGCATGCCCTCCCCTCCATGTTTTGGCATACAGCTCACACGCTCCGTGGCCCCATAGGGAGCTCCATCTGAGGCCCCAGTAGCTGCGTTCGCATGTCTTCTCCAGGCTATCTCGGCGCACCCCTTACACGCTTCGTGGCTGCATAGGAAGCTCCAATGAAGGCCCCTTTGGCAATAATCACATGCGTGGCCGTGCCCGTTTCGGCACACCCCTCACACGCTTAGTGGCCCCATGGGGAACTTCGCCCAAGCCCAATGGCTGCGCTCACATGCCGTATCCAACCCATGTCAGCGGCCCATAGGGAGCTCCACCTAAGGTCCCGATGGCAAGAATCGCATTCGTGAGCGCGCCCACTTCGGCACACCCCTCACACGTGGCCCAATAGGGAGCTCCACCTAAGGCCCCAATGACAGGAATCGCATGCGTGACCGTGCCAAGTTCGGCACACCCCTCACACGCTTCGTGGCCCCACGAGGAGCTCCGCCGAAGGCTCCAGTGGCGGGAATCGCATTCGTGAGCGCGCCCATTTCGGCACAGGGAGCTCCACCGCATGCCCCAGAGGCAGGACTCGAATGCGTGATCGCGCTCACTTTGGCACACCCCGCGCACGTTCCATGGCCACCGAAGGCCCCGCCGCATGCTGCTCCCCAGACCGCGCCCTGCTGCTCCCCAAAGCCGGGTCGACAGACGCTCAGAACAGCCGTGACGGGTCACATCCAGATGTAACCCGTTGCGGCTGACCCCCACGACCCCTCTCAGCAACGTCGCTCCGTCCTTCTCCAGCGAGCCTTAGTGCTTTTGCTAGCCCCCCCCTTGCATTCCACCTGTCGTGCGGTGCTCGCACACTCCAAATCGGTCGCGGCCGATCCCGGACAATGGAGCAACATCGATAGCGACCGATCTCGTCGGTCGCGAGTGGACAACTCCATTATTGTCGGACCTTGGCCAGAAGAACATCCTCAAGACATGAAACCCTCCGTCGACCAAAACAACCAGAACATCCAAGGGTACCCTCCCCTGGATACCCCGACTGGCTTGTAGTTGATGGGCAACCCTCCCTCGTCTGAGTTGACAATGTAGCACTCTTTGGCGCTGAACCTTGAGGACGAAGTCAAGACAAATGATTCTCACCCGCCCGCCCGTCCGTCCGTCCGTCCGGCGGTGGCTCGCGGTGTCCCGCGGTGTCCCGTGGTGTCCCGTGGAAGCCTGGGCTGGCCTCCTCCTCGTCATCCCTCCCCGTTCCTCATTGGAGGATGGGGGGAGGGATCATGATTGCATATCCGTACCTATACCGCCAGCCTTCGGGTGAAAAGGAGGTTGTGGGGGGGGGGGAGGGGGGGGGCACCAACATCTGACTCGATCGATCTCACTATCGATCTCACTCAACGGGGCACCACGGGACACCACGGGACACCACGTAACACTTGTCGATCTCACTATCGATCTCACTATCGATCTCACTCAACGGGACACCACGGGACACCACGGGACACCGCGGGACACCTCTCGATCTCACTATCGGTCTCCCTATCGATCTCACCATCGATCTCACTCAACGGAACACCATATACGACACCGCGGGACACCCCGGGGCACCACCACGATCTCAGTAGCGATCTCAGTATCGATCTCACTCAACGGGACACCACGGGACACCACGGGACACCTGTCGATTTCACTGTCGATCTCACTATCGATTTCATTTTTTGGGGCACCACGGGACACCACGGGACACCTCGGGGCACCACATCGATCTCAGTATCGATTTCACGATCGATCTCACTATCGATCTCACTCAACGGGACACCACGGGAAGGGACGCTTGTCGATCTCACTATCGACCTCACTATCGATCGCACTCAAGGGGACACCACGGGACACCACGGGACACCGCGGGACACCGCGAGCCACCGCCGGACGGACGGACGAACGGGCGGGCGGGGGAGAATCATTGGTCTTGACTTCGTCCTAGCAACGGCGGACACCACGGGACACCACGGGACACCGCGGGACACCGCGAGCCACCGCCAGACGGGCGGGCGGAGGAGAACCATTGGTCTTGACTTCGCCCTAGCAACGGCGGGCTCGTTCCTCTCGCGCTTCCACGTTGCTTCGCCGCGCCCGCACGAACGACACGAACGAAACGAAACGATTTCCTGGTTGAGGGTCGCCGTTCCACTGCGATCTCACCCCCCAACCTCCGATTGTAGTCGTACTGTATGTGCATTCTGGGGAGAAGGACTTGGAGGGAGCAGGAATCATTACTCTCTGCTCAGTGTATTCATATTACACTGTTCTATTGCGCACCGTATTCCTATTGTATTCCCGTTGGACAAGGAGGACGGGATGGGATGATAAACTCGTATTGTAAGATGATCGTGGTCTCATTACATGCCATGTGTATGCGCATTAGGAAAGGAGGACAGGGGGGCGGACACCTTGTTGCATCTTCATTGCGTTCATACTGCGATCATATCGTCTTCCGGTCGGAGGAGAAAGGGAGGGGAGAAGGATGCACTCTTATATTATCCGTGTTCCTGTTGCGACCTGAATGCGTTACTATGTGATGGGGAGGAAGGAAGGAGGGAGATATTTCGCATTGCATTGTTATGACATTCGCATTGTAATCCGATGTGGGTTCCGGTTGGGGGAGGATGAAGGGAAGGGACGATGATGTTTTATTGAACGCTATGTATTCATATAGCGTTTCTGTTCTGGTCCTACTGGAGCAAGAAGATGTGAAGGGAAGAAATCCGCATTGCATCCTGATTGTGTTCACATTGTTTCCCTACTGACTTCCGAATGAAAGGAAGAGAACGCGAGCGGAGACGGCATTAATATTGCATGCTTCTTCTATGTATAGTGCGTTTTTACTGTACTCCTACTGGGGGAGGAGGTAGGGAGAAAGAGAGGGGGGAAGGGATCCTCACTGCATGTTCGTGGCGTACTAAAACTGTTGGAAGGAGAAGGAGGTGAGGAGAAAAGGGATGTCATTCCACGCTTACTACATCCCCATTGCGTTTTAATGGTATTCCCATTCCAGTAGGAGGAAGGAGGGGGAGAAGGAATTTGTATTGCGTTCTTACTGTAATCATATTGTGCTCCTGTTGTATTCCGATTGGGGGAAGAGATAGGGAGGGGATAGGCCTCGTCCTTCTCATCAGCATCCCCCCTCTCCCTCCCCATTCCTCCCCCTCCTCCCCCTCCGCCTCCTCCTGCTCCTCCTGCGAGCGGGCTCCAAGACAGAGGACAAGAGAGGAGGATGAGGAGGATGGAGCACAAAAGATGAGAGGAGGGAGTAAGGATGGATGAGGGGGGAGGGGAGGCGACGTGGAGGGGACTTTCAACCGATTGGCTTTCAATCGATTGGCTTGCGACCGATTAGAGTGCAATCGATTCGATTGCAACCGATCGGCTTTCAATCCATTGGCATGCAATCGATTAGATTGCAAGCGATTGGATAGCACTCGGTTGGATTGCATTCGACTGAACTGCGACTATCTGAATGGCAAGAGGAGGAGAAAGAGCAGGAGGAGGAAGAGAATGACGATGATGATGATGATGAGGAGGAGGAGGAGGAGGATGCCCTCCCAGTCGGTCGTTTGGGGGTGCTGTGGGGGGGTATGGTCGCCCCCCCCAGCACCCCAAATCCATGAAAAAATCACAAAACCTTCATTGATCGTTCGCTCGTCGTCGTCATCCTCCTTCTCCTCCTCCTCCTCCTCCTCCTTTCCTTTTCTCGATCGCCTTCAAAACCAACGAAAACGCGAAACCACAGGAGAACAAAACAACAACTATGATTTCTGGAACTGCTGGAGAGGGGGGCCAGCCAAGGTTCTCCAAAAATCATACATGTTTGTTTTTTGCTGGTGTTTCAAATGGTTTCGCTGTTTTTTAGCAACGTCGCTGATTTTTCGCAGGCGTCCGTGCGCTGTCGGAAAGGAATGGGAGGAGGAAGAGGAGTGGAGAAGAGAATTATCGATGCCAGAGTCTTCTTACACGACAAGGGACAGCAGGGGCACCGATATGCCCGTGCACCCATGTAGAAATATAGGCATCCTAGATGGGGTCCCAATAGACTAGGTCGGAAGATCGCTCCGCATCGCCGGTATATCGCCGCCTTTGGCGATGCATCGGCGACGCCGGCGTGGAGAAAGTCGGGCTCCACATCGGGTTGCATCCCCGATGCCTCGGCGTTGGCAGAAATGCTTGCGGGGGACGCCGCCCCCCCCTCGCCCCATTTCAACCAGAACTGTCGCCACCCGAAGCAACACCAGCTACGGCAAACGTAATTTCGCGATTCCAGACCTTTTTGGAGGGTTTCGGGACCCAATCACTGACTGGCTCTCTTTACTCAGGGTCCTAGGCCAGAAGAGCACCCCTCAAGGACAGGAGACCCTCCGCCGACTAAAACACACAGAACATTCAAGGGTACCCTCCCCAGGATGCACAAGAACATGAAACAAACACGAAGAACACTAGGGCCTAGGGTATGGTACCCTCCCCGGACCGATCTCGATCTTGTCCTGCCTATAGTTAGGTCGGGCATGTCCTCCTACAGACGGATTTTGAAGAAAAGCGGCAAATAGTCAAAACATACTCAAAACAAATGAAACATAGTAGAGACATCGTCCCCTGACAACGCTCGACTATTTGGAACCTTCGTCCTGTAGGGGGGCATGTAAAACAGGGCTAGGATCGGGATAACTCGCTCCAGAGAGTTCCGGAGCGCTCTCAGAGCGTTCCGGAAGGCTCTGGAGCGGCCGCGGCGCCCAATACATCCTCCAAACCCGCCGATCATCAGAGATTTCGAGTTATCCTAACCCGATTTTGTCACGATCTTCGCGTCGTTTTGGCATGCCCGACTGAAGGGCACAGCCGACCCTCGCCAGCCCCGCGAAGGGACCGGGCCGAGGCGGAACGCGCGGCGGGCGCCCGCGGGCCTGCTCCAGCTGCGCGACGCGCTCGAGGCACTGTCCTGGCCGCGGGCCCACGCGCGCTGGGCCCGGGCCCGGCGGAGGGCGGCCTCGAGGCTCGCGGGGTCGAGCTCTCGTCGGACGCCTCGCGCCTCTTCCTGAGATCCCTGGCGCCTCGAACTTCGCGAGAGCCCGGCGTTCTCCCGCAGGCTCGGGCCCTGGGGCCCTCACGGATCGATCGGGCTCGAGAGCTGTCGCAGAAGGATGGGGACTGGGGCTCCGGTCCTCAACATGTTGCGATGCTTCGTCTTCTTTGCGCCCTCGGAGCTCGGGGCTGCCTGGCCCCGGGGAAGGAGGGAGGGACGCCGACACCACCACCGCCAGCGCGAGGCTCCAGGGAGGGTCCTCCTGGTGGTGTGGTCCTCACTTCGCGCTCGAGGCATCCCCTGTCCGCAGCTCGGGGAGACATCGTGTGCGGGGAAGATGTATACTCAGATCCGCTGCATTTTGAAGTTTCGAGATCCCTTCCCCAAACACCCGAGGCGCCGTGGATATATATATATATATATACATACATACATACATATATGTATGATATGATATGATATGATATGATATGATATGCTATGATATGGTATGTGTATATCTACAAATGTAAATGTGAAAATATCGTGTCCCCAGTGCCCCAACAAAACCTATAACGATGTCGGGCTTACTTTGCCAACTAAAATGGCTCGAAATCACAAGCGATGCCGCGAGTGTGGTCGCGGGAAACTGCAAGAGACATGAACGCGGCAGGGGTCGGCGGAGAGGGGGGGGGGAGCGACGCTGGCCGCCACGAGGGGACCCGAGGAGGTCAGATAACATGCCGTCGCAACCCTTCGACAAACTGACGATTTGCACACCCGAGGAGAACAGCCGAAGCGACGAATTACAATCCTACCAGCACTCTTGGCGCAGGTGGTTTGACGAGTTCTGTCTATCCCTCCTTCCTACTACCCCCTCCCCTGGGCCTGGGAGGGGGGAGGGCGCGACCCATTGGACTGCACAAGATGGCCCAATATTGCTCCAAGAGGGCCTCAGAGAGCTCAAGATGACCTCCAAGATGGCCCAACATAGCCGAACATGATTCCATCTAGTTTTTGACATACCTCTAAAATGCCCGAAAACAGCCCAAAGACGGTTCTTAGTGCCCTTCGAGCCTTCCTAGGCACCTTCGGGAAAACACATGTTGTTTGCGTTCTCGCGCTTTCGCTTTCGATGGGCGTTTGAGGCCTCAGAGTGGCCCCAAGACTGCCCACGAGAGCCCCAAGAGGGGCCCAAGAGGGCCCAAGAGGGCCCAAGACAAGAGCGACCAAGAGCGGCCCAAGAGGGCCTCAGCACATCATGTTCGACGCTCTGATGGGGGGGACCTGACTTCAGGACCTTATTATTGTTTTATGTCATGGGGCCCAAGAGGCCTCCCAGACCCCCAATGATCCCCAGGAGGGCCCCGAGGCCCCCCTAAATCAGCCCCAAAAGGGCCCCAAGAGTGCCCCATAAAGCCCCACGTGGACCCTAACAGAGCCCCTAGAATGGCGTTAGTCGTCCTTCAAGAACATCTCACAACATCACATCTCCAACGCCCGACTTCTCATCCTCCTTGTCGTCGTCCGTTCCTTCCCACCTTCTTTCCTGCCTCCTCCTCCTCCTCCTTCTCCTCCTCCTCCATTCTCCATTCTCCTCCTCCTCCTCCTCCTCCTCATCATCATCATCATCAGCATCAGCATCAGCATCAGCATCAGCATCATAATCATCAACATCATTATCATCATCATCATCATCACCATCATCATCATCAGCATCGTCATCATCATCATCATCATCATCATCAGCATCAGCATCATCATCTTCCTCGTGACACGTTCGTCCTCCTCATCCTGCTCCTCCTGCTCCTCCTCCTGCATCCTCCTCCTCCTCCTCCTCCTCCTCCTCAGCATCATCATCATCAGCAGCATCATCATCAACATCATCATCACCATCGACATCAACATCTTCCTCGTGCCGCATTCCTCCTCCTCCTCCTTCTCCTCCGCCTCCTCCTCCTCTTCTTCCCCCTCGTCCTCCTCCTCTGTTTGTCCTCCTCCTCCTCCTCCTCCTCCTCCTCCTCCTCCTCCTCCTCCTCCTCCCCCTCTTCCCCCCAAGATGGCCCCAGGAGGTCGAACACTGCTCAAGATAGCCTCCGACGGACCTCCAAGAGGCCCCAAGACAGCCTCAAGGTGGTCCAAGATAGCTGAACATGGCTTAGGATAGCCTCCGAAAGCTTCTAGACGAACATGGCTCACGATAGCCTCCGATCATGTCTGGATGGGCTGGTGGGGATACAAAGCGTCAAGCCTTAACCTTGACACAGCCGCCGTGCACATACATTTTCGATTGAGTAGCATCTGAACGGATCGAGCCTGCTTGCGTGGCTGGACCTCCAACCAAGGTTTAATGTGATGTGGCCACGTCATTTGCACAGAGCGCTAGGCAAGACGGATGGCGACGAGGAGGGCAATCGCCAACCAAGAGCAGCCCAACCATGGGAACCGCCTTCACATGCTCCGCGCCGGCGGGGACACGCTGCAGCTACCCCCGCCCTCCTCCCACCCCTATCCCCCGAAGGGGAAGAGAGGGGAGCATAATGAACGAGAACGAGAACGGGAGGAAGGCGCGGGACTGGCGGAGGGAGCGAAGGAGAGCAGACTGGGAGACCAGGGATGGACGGGGCCTCGGCGAGGCGCCAGTGGGGCCCTCCGAGGCCTTCTTCAGGACCGACTGAGGCTCGCCTCACTAGAGCTGCTCGCGTGTTGGCGCGGTCGGAGCGGGAGCGTGTTCCAAGCACTGTCTACGCATGTGTCGAAATCTGGTCTGATTGTATTGCATCAGTGATCAGAACTAGGCAATGCAAACAAAGCCCGCACTGTTTGAAGAATCTGTTCCGCCGTGCCAGCATTGGCAGGGGCCCTTCCCAGCTCCTCGCTCGGGACAGCGTCGCGATCGCGAGGCGCAGGCGCACATACCAGGAAACTCTCGCACGATGGTGGCGCGTAAAACCAATAACCAAGTCCCAAAAAGGCTCCAAGAGGGCCCCAAGGGGGCCTCCAAGAGCAGTGAAAGTGAAGGCACGTGAGCGCCTTTTCCCTTTGGGCATCCTTCTTGGAGCTCTATTTCACCTTTCATGGGCCGTAATGGAGGGAAAACTGTGGGGGATGCAAGCGAACACCCAGAGGGCCCCCAAGAGGAGTGACAGTTTTGTCTCACGAAAGGGCGCTCGCGTGACGTCAGATTCACTGCTCTTGGGGGCCCTTCGAGGCTCTCCTGGATTCATCTTGAGGCCTCCGGGGCCATCTCTGAACTCGCGTGGGGCCATCTTGGGGCCACCCTGGACCTCTGTTGGGGCGCTTCTGGCGCCCTCTCGGGGCTGCAGAGTATCTCAATCGTCCGCTTCGAGGGCGTCTAGTTAAAGCTCCCAAGGCCCGTGCCTTGGCTCTCGGGTTCCTCCGGGGGCCTTCTCGGAGCCTTCTTGGAGCTGTCCCGCCGCCAGTGGCACCGCGTCCATGAACCGACCGCTCTGTGAGAAGACAGGGCCTTAGGGTTGAACCACCCCGGCCGCGAGGCCAGAGACGTCAGGCAACACACCCTCGGCCTTCAGGCAGGGCGCCCGAGGCCAAAACTTTCCAGCCTCGAGGCCAGAAAGGTGCGGCCTCCCACCGAACTCTTTGCTACGATGTTCAACGTCCGCTCCCGCGATGTCGTGCACAAGGAGCAGCAGGGGGGGGCTCGAGTCCCTGGGGGCCATCCTCAGAATCCGAGGGAGAAAGAGAAACAGAGAGAGAGAGAGAGAAAGAGAGAGAGAGAGAGGGCAAGAGAGAGAGAGAGAGAAAGACTCGAGAGGGAGAGAGGAAGGATCGGGACGAGGAAGATATCCGTCCCTCGCAAAATTTTCTCCTCCACTCCCTCCCCCTCCCAGGCCAGCCCGCGAGGGTCCGAGTGCGCCAGACTGCATGGACTCCTCCAGCGCTTCGCGCAACTTCGCCCTGTGACCCCGCAGCTCCTC